TACACATACCACTAGGAAAGAAAACAATTTTGGAAAACAATTTTGATTTTATTTGTAATAACTGACAATTTTGCTGCATATAGCTGAATATATAGATATGAAACGCTTATTTAATTTTTTTCAATTAGAATTATAAATGAAGTATTTATGTGCGAAAGAAATTTCGATTTCATTTCAAAGCAATCGCAAAATATACCCCCCAAAGATATATATTTGAATTGCACAAGAGAAACTTTTAGTTAGAAGTTTGAATGTGTTGCTCAACAATTTCGCCGCAATGCGGTGTTTTGATATTGTAATATTTTTTGGGTCCGTAAGTACATGCAAATACCTGCACAATAACAAACTGATACTTAAGCAATACTGCGACCGACGAGTATCGTATCTTCCCGATGATAAACTCTAAACGTTAGTGTCTTATCTTAGACCCGTCGTCAAATTCGTCAGTAACGCGCGAGCATGGATAGTGAATTAACGATCGCGTAGAAGAGCGCAACTGAAGCACGAAAGACGAAAACGAAAGATTAGCTCGTTCGAAAATGTGGTCATTAATATTCGTAACAATCTTAACATTGGGTAGTGCTATATCGAAGACGGTGAATCTACCAAGTAACGTACGTTAAATTACTATCTACTATGTTACAATACTTTTTATATCTGACTATATCTATATACGTGTAAAATGTATAAATCCACAAATTTTTTATTACGTACAGATTTCTATAAAATATAAAAAAAATACCTTTCTTTTTTTTTCTTTTTTGTTATTTTGTGTATTTAAAAATTGAAATTAATTTACAAATTAATGTTTCAAGAATTCTTACATTGAAGATCTTTACATACTATTTTTTCCTTGTGAAATGGAAACATTTACGTTATCTCTTATTTATTATATCTCCTTTTACATTATTTTACATATTTTATATTTTAATTTTGCGAAATTAAAACTATATTAATGATATTAATAAATTAAAATATAAATGTGCACGGGTATATAAAAATAAATAAAATGTATAAATTGAAGCAATCAGTAAGTAAGTAAGTCGATACTGATTGCTTACTGATTGCTAACGAAAATAATAATTTAAAATAAAGAGAGAGAATATTGAGATGGAAATTTCACTCATCTTCAAAAAGATAAATAAAATTTAGCATTATTTTTTTATATCAATTAGTTACATTTTTAATTAGGAACAATGATGTCATTAACCAGAAAGAATTTTTAAGACTGTCGATTCTGTTGGAAAAAATAGAAAACGGGAAAGGAATAATGAATATCACATTTGGTATATTGAATATCACATTTGGTAGAATAAAATACAACACAATTTATGTGTGATTTGCTACGCAATATACATATGTATATATGTTAATGTAAATTATAAAATTTGTATGCAGATCATAAAGTAGGTTGATTGATTCTACGATTGTCCTCGACCTCGTGTTCTAGATATGGACTATTATATTGTCGATTGAATGAAAAATTGAAGCAAGATTTACTTCTTGAATTTTAAATTTATTTTTTAGGCAATATAGGCAAATAAATAAAATTATTTGTACTGAAAGCACATATTTAACTTTTATCATTATCATAATCTTTTGTAGTAAAAAATGTTTTTAATTAAAATTTAATCATAATTTTCAGTAAATTTAGAATCATTTAGAATCTATGCACATAGATATATGCAACATAAAACATTTCGATAAATAATGAAAAATTCATAAATGCAGTTATATATATGTACCTAATAGTTATTTGCGTTCTCATTGCGACAAACGCAAGGAAAATATTATTCAGAATACTTGTTGCGTTACGTGTTGCGTTACGTTTCTCGTGTGAAAACATATAAATTTATCTTTATGATTAACCTATCGGAGTCGGAATAATGCTACTGGCTGAGCAAAGTTAGGAGATAAAAAAGAAGCAGAGGATCTTTTGGCCGTATTGGCCGTATTGGCCGTATACTATACTAATACAATAATTATACAATATAATTGTACAATAATTCACCTCAAATGATATTTCCATCAAAATTTGCTAACTGGCGTAAATTACATAAGATAATAAAATTATATACGACATAAAAGTTTGTATTAGTAATTTCAAAGTTTATACATATGGCACATATGGCACATATGGCATATGTGTCATATATATGCCATATGCATATGTTAATTGAATTGCAAAGTAAAGAAAATAATACAAAGTATAAAAATAAATACAAAGCGATATCTTTTAAATGTATAACTGTAATATAAAAAGTAAAATTATATTAAATATATTACAAGTATACAAATATAATAAATTCAGTAAATTATAATGAAAATTCACTTTTTATTAAATTATTTTAGCAAAACTTTTAAAACAAATAATTGCAGGATACGGAATGGCAATACAGCTTTGAAGTCGATTACGAAAATAATCAGTTTTTATTAGATGGAAAATCCTTCCGATATGTTTCCGGTAGCTTTCATTATTTTCGGGCACCTAGACAATACTGGAGGGATCGTTTAAGAAAAATGCGAGCCGCAGGACTTAACGCTGTCTCCACGTAAGTTGGATCTCTTTATAATTTGTAATTTATTTTGTGATAATATAAAAAAGTTTTACATTACCGCTTCAGAAAGTTAAGTGTGTAATAAATATTTTATCTATTTATTAAATTTAAGGTAATGTATAATATATTCAATTAATATTAAATCTTCCTTTTTATTTTCGCGATATAGTTACGTTGAATGGAGTCTTCACGAACCAGAACCGGGTCAATTTAATTGGGCCGGTGATGCAGATCTAATAAATTTCTTAAATATTGCGCAAGAGGAAGATTTACTGGTGTTGTTACGACCAGGTCCTTATATTTGCGCGGAAAGAGACTTGGTAAATGTATATATTAACTATTTAATGCAAAGTACTTTCACTGATGTAACCGGTAATCTCTGCAATCTATTTTTTCATTTATTTGAAACAAATCTTAGAAATTAAATCGTTAACTCTTTCGTTAGCTCTTTTCCCCGAATAATATTAAGAAAACATTCTATAATTTTGATAACATATCTTCAGGGTGGTTTACCATATTGGTTGCTCCGTGAAATACCAAATATTAAATTACGTACAAAAGATGCAGGTAAGATATAATTTGTTTTATTGACTTGTTACATACAAAGATGTTTTATAAAATTTGTATATTGCAACAAGTTTATGAAAAGTGGAAAAATATTATTATTTATGTAATTATAAATAGATACAGCGACTCACAATTGTTGTAACAAGAGA